CAGGGTTAGGTTGAGAGGTCAGGATTACGGTGAAGGGTTAGTGAGGTTTAGGATTAGGGTTACAGTAAAGGTTAGAGTAAGTTTAAAGTTAAGTGTGAAGGCAAGTGAATTTTTGCAAAAGTTGTAAAATGTGCATCCATCTTTATTTTATTTCCTGTGGTTTCCGGTTAATTGTCCCTTAATTTATAGAAATACATGGGCTAGTGGGCTCTGTGTCAGTTTGCATTTTCAGAAAGATGGCGTTGAACACCTCGCCTTTTGACTTTAAGGGTGCGTATCCACCGCCAGCGCCATGAGCACGAGGGCCCTGCAGTGCTCCCCGCTGCCAGCAGAGGGCGCGCGAGTCCCATCTTTTCTATCCTGGAGGCCATGGCGTCACGCCCATTTCCTGCACGCAGGCGCCTGTGAGGGTAGGAGTCAGGTTCTCCTCAGCAGACACCAGGGGACGTCCCTGACTTTGGGACACTTGGAGCCCGCGTCCACGTGAGTAAAATCTTTCTTGATTGCTGCCCCGAGAACCTTTGTTTGGAAAATGAGAAACCAAAGACCACGGTGAATCAAGCGGAGCTGAGGTTGTACCGAAGATGAGGCGGCCACGGGCCATGCTGCAGGCTCGGAACAGCAGTGCAGCGTCAGGAGGGCAAATAGAATACCCGCCACACTGATGATAACCCCTTGTGATACCAGTAACACTCCATCTGTGGTGCTGTGTAAGCACCCAGCACGCAGACCTCACACCCGTGAGGGGGACACGGCACTTGCCGCACAGGTCCGATCCCGGGAACGTGGACGCGTCTCTCAGAGTGCACAGAGCGCCCAGAGCGCCTGCGAGTGCACACGTAGCAGTCACAATGCCCATGAGAGGTACTAACACAGCACCCGTCAAACTCATACAACCCCCAGAACATGCATGTGTCCCTCAGACAGTACACATATCACCCAGAAAGCCCGTGACATCAGACTCAGGGTGCACACATATCACCTGGGATGCAGAAGTGACACTGACTATCCCAGCACCTGTCACACTCCTATAACCCCCAGAAGACGCATGTGTTCCTCCGTAGACAGGTATGCCCAGAACGCCGGTGACACTTCAGAGTGCACATATCACCCAGAACACACAAATGATATTGTCAGACTAACCCAACACCTGTCACACTCATATAACCCCTGGAACACACATGTGTCCCTCAGAACACACACACATCACCTGGAACAACACTTACACCGTCAGATTCAGAGCGCTCTTATCACCCGGAACACACAGATGTTGCTGTCAGACTAACCCAACACCCTTCACACTCATATAACCCCCAGAACACGTGTGTGGCCCTCTGAACACACATGCAATGTTTGGAATGACCATGACACCGTCAGACTAATACAACACTCGTCACACTCGTATAACCCCCATAATGTGTCCCTTAGAACACACATATCACCTGGGACACGAACATGTCCTTGGGAGCCTCTGCAGCACCAAGGATGGGACCCTCTGGTTCTCGCTGGGGCGCTGGGTTCACAGTCTGTGCTGGGCTGGATTTGCGAGGGATTTGGCCTGTTATGAAGTGTGATGTTTCTGCCTTTCTGACGTGATATTGACAGGGTTGTTTTAAAAAGTATTTGACTTACTAGTAACGTCATATTTCTGGGAAGCTTGGAGCAGCAATTAGTATGGCTTCTCCTGTCCTCCGATTCCCTAGCAGTTACTGCTGTGACAGATTTGCAGCTTCAGACAAAATACCCTCTTGTGTTCCACCAAAGGCACAAACACTCCTTCAAGTGACCCCCACATAACTTGCAAATCAGGAAATTCATGGTTTCTTTTCTTTTTTATTTTTTTTTTGAGATGGTGTGTTTTGTTCCAGGGCTGGAGTGCAGTGGTGTGGTGTCAGCTCACTGCAACCTCCTCCTCACGGGTTCAAGGGATTTTCTTGCCTCAGCTTCCCCAGTAGCTGGGATTAAAGGCGTGCGCCACTAGGCCTGGCTAATTTTTTGTATTTTTGGTAGAGATGGGGTTCACCATGTTGGTCAGGATGGTCTTGATCTCTTGTCCTCGTAATCCTCCCTCCTCAGCCTCCCAAAGTGCTGGGATTACATGTGTGAGCCACCATGCCCTGTCAAAAATACATGATTTCTATGTGAAAGTCCAGTCCATAGACCTTCACAGTCTGCCCCCCGGGTTAGGGTTAGGGGTTAAGGGTTAGAGTTAAGGGTTGAAGGTGGAGTTAGGGGTTAGGGTTAGGGGTAGGGTTAGGGGTTAGGGTTTAGGGTCAGAATCAGGATTAGGGTTAGGGATTAGGGATTAGGGTTAGGGTTAGGGTTGGGTTTAGGGTTAGGGTTGGGGTCAGGGTCAGGGTTAGGGTTTAGGGTTTGGGTTAGGGGTTAGGGTTAAGGGTTTGGGGGTTGGGATTTAGGGTTTAGGGTTAGAGTTTTATGTTTAGGGTTTAGGGTTAGGGTTAAGTGTTAGGGTTTTGGGTTTTGGCTTGGGGTTAGGGTTTAGGGTCAGGGTTAAAGGTTAGGGGTCAGGGTTAGGGTTAGGGTTTAGGGTTTAAGGTTAGGGTTTAGGGTTATGGTTAGGTTTAGGGTTTAGTGGTTAGGGTTTAGGGTTTAGGGTTAGGGTTAAGGGTTTAGGGTTAGGGTTAGGGTTACAGGTTAGGGTTAGGGTTGGGGCTAGGGTTAGGGTTTAGGGTTTAGGGTTAGGGTTAGTATTAGGGTTGGGTTTAGGGTTTAGGGTTACGGTTAGGGGTTTGGTTTGAGGGTTAGGGTTTAGGGTTTAGGGTTAGGGTTAGGGCTAGGTTTAGGGTTAGGGTTATGGTTTAGGTTTAGGGTTAGGCTTCATACTTTAGGGTTATGGTTAGGGTTTAGGATTAGAGTTATGTTTGGTTTAGGGTTTAGAATTAAGTTTAGGGTTTAGGATTTAGGGTTAGGGTTTAGGGTTGGGGTTAGGGTTTTAGAGTTAGGGTTTAGTGTTTAGGTTTAGGGTTTAGGGTTAGGGTTAGGGGTTTGAGGTTAGGGTTAGGGTTTTGGTTTAGGGTTAGGGTTGGGGTTTGCTGTTAGGGTTTAGGGGTTGGGGTTGGGGTTGGGCTTAGCATTAGGGTTAGGTGTTAGTGTTAGTGTTATGGTTTAGGGTTAGGGTTTAGGTTTAGGATTAGTGTTAGGCTTAGGGTTAGGGTTGATGGTTAGGGTTAGGGTTTAGGTTCATGGTTTACGTTTAGGGGTAGGGTTAGGGTTAGGGGTTAGGGTTTTGGGGTTAGGGTTAGGGTTTAGGGTTTGGTTTAGGGTTTCGGGTTAGGGTTTAGCATATAGAGTTTGGGTTAGGATTTAGGGTTAGGGTTTTATGTTTAGGGTTAGGGTTAAGTCTTAGGGTTTAGGGTTTTGGGTTAGGGGTTAGGGTTTAGGGTCAGGGTTAAAGGTTAGGGGTCAGGGTTAGGGTTAGGGTTTAGGGTTTACGGTTAGGGTTAGGGTTTAGGGTTATGGTTAGGTTTAGGGTTTAGGGTTAGGGTTAGGGTTGGGTTTAGGGTTTAGGGTTAAGGTTAGATTTAGGGTTTAGGGTTAGGGTTAGGGTTTAGGGTTTAGTGTTTTGGTTTGGGTTAGGCATTAGGGTTAGGGTTAGCCTTTAGTATTTAGGGTTAGGGTTATGATTAGAGGGTTAGGGTTAGGTTTTAGAGTTTAGGGTTAGGGTTTAGGATTAATGTTAGGGTTTAGGGTTAGGGTTAGGTGTTAGGGTTAGGGTTAGGATTTGGGGTTAGGGTTAGGGTTAGGATTTGGGGTTAGGGTTAGGGTTCGGGTTCAGTTTCGGGTTAGGGGTTAGGGTTAAGGATTAGGATTTGAGTTAGGGGGTTAGGGTTATGGTTAGGGTGTTAGGGTTAGGGTTTAGAGTTAGAATTAGGGTTTATGTTTAGGGTTAGGGTTTAGGGTTGGGGTTGGGGTTACGGTTAGGGTACAGAGTAGAAATAGAGTTTGAATGATGCCTCTTCAATTGCATACTCTTATCATGGATAGTCTTGCAAACATGTGTAGCCAGAAAATGCCAGAGCTGGGAGAAGCAGTGGAGATGATCAGGTGCACTCTTCCAATTTTGTAGATTTTGTAGGTAGAGCCTCAGGGAGATTAAAAAGGGCTAACAGCAGGGCCAGCTCCCCAAACCTGAGTTTCTGGGGAGCCTGTTTAGGACTTTTTCTGTCCGAACAGCTAATCTTAGAAGGTGTCATGAGACTTGCAAACAGGTTCCAATGCAAAAGGCTTACATTTTTTAAGAATATTCAGGTTTAGGCACAGAATACAGCTCTGGAGTGACGGGCTCAATCTGGAACTAACCCTCTTGTGTTCTGCTTCCCTATGCCAGGTAGCCTCCGAGGAGGGGCCTAGCTGCTGTGGCCCTCAGTATCGCTTGATTGGTACAAACAGGAATGTTATCTGGCTGGAGAGATGATTTTTTTTTTGACAAGGTCTCCCTTTTTTGCCCAGGCTAGAATGCAGTGGTGTGATCATGGCTCAATGTAGCCTTGACCTCCTGGGCTCGAGTGATCCCCTCAACTCAGGTACCAGAGTAGCTGGGACTACAGGCACACACCACCACACCCAGCTAATAAATTTTTTTTTTTCGTAGAGATAAGAGATAAGGTTTTGCTATGTTTTCTGGGCTGGTCTTGAATTCTTGAGCTAAAGTGATCCTCCTACCTTAGTCTCCCTAAGTGCTGGGATTACAGACGTGAGCCACCACATCTGGCTGAGAGGATGAATTTTTAAATGTCCCTCAATGTTAGTTTCATTTCCCCTTGCTTTTAAGAACTTGAACAGGTCATTACATTTTTGGGAATTTTCTCTATTCATCCATACCTTGATAACATGGCCACGTATTACATTGACTTTGAGGTGGTCTGACTGGGAAAGGCTAGCACAGCCTGCCCACAGAAGGGGGCAACTTCATCCCTTCTCTTCCCTTCTCTCTCCAGCTCTCCCACTTACATGAACTGAAGCTTTTCTTCTCTCCCCAGATCTCTACGAGCATAAGTTTATCAACTCTCGGTTTATCAACTCCACCTTTCTGGAGCAGAAGGAGAGCTGCCACATGGACTTGGAGCAAGATAATGACTTCCTGATTTACCTCATCAGCTTCCCAGGAGGGTTGTCTGTCTTACCCGGGAACATCATTTCTGCCCTGCTCATGGATAGGATTGGAAGACTCAGGATGATCGGTGAGTTGTCCACAGTCCTTTCTAGGTTCCAGTGTGATGGGATGGTGGCTTTCAAATATATTAAAACAGGGAAATTTTTTCTTTTATTAAAGAATTCTTGCACAGTAAACCCAACAAGTAAGATTGCACCTGGGGCTACAGAGCCAAAGATGCATGCATATGGAAAATTCCAGGGCTCCATGGAAATAGTCAGAGATCTTTGGTCTAGGTGAGAGATTTTTGTTCATTTATTGGCAGAGAAATTCTGTGACAGTAGTTTAATCCATTAGCACCTCAATAAGGGTAGTAATAATATCCACCCTGCTTCTTCATTAGATCGTTGTCATAAAAATATAAAAAATGCTCTGGGATGATAGTTTGATGTCTGAAGATAAATCTATTACTTTTATTGTTTAATAGCAATACCACTTTAGGCTTTGGAGTTGGCCAGAGCCATGTTGAAATCCTGTCACTGAAAAGCTGTTTGACCTTGAATGTGTTTCTTTACTTCTCTGGGCCTCAGTTTCCTTATTTATAAGAGGAGGATTTCTGCATCTAGCTGGTAGGTTTTTGTGAGAATTGAACGTAAGTTACCTGTAATGCTTGGCCCATTGTGGGTTCTCAAAAGTGGTAGCTATACTTATAGATGCCTTGCCTCATTCCAGTGGGACTTGAAGCAATTTATTATAGAAACACATGCCATGAATGGTAAATAAGAAGCAAAATGTACACGCTGAGGACCAGGGAAAATGTACATTAGAATATGAGTCAAGGCCAGGAGTGGGGAAGTGGACAACACATCATCTTAATAAACATGCCATTAGGGACCTGCCTTAGGGATGTCAGTGATTAGGAAAGTTAATATGAAGCTTCCTAGCAGCAGTTTGCAAAAAGAAACACAATTAATTATAAAATCATTTTGTTGGAGGAGAGGAAATTGATCAGGTCTTCAGAGGAAGGAATTCTTTTCTGGCGTTTGGCTCATAGTGAATATCACTATTATAAATAGTAGCATGCATATTCAGCATGGCAAGCATGAGAAATGCCTGTGACTTCAGCTTTTTAATCTTGTGGTGAGGGTGGAATCATCTCTTAGGTATGGCAGACTTCGTGCTCTCCTCTGTTAGAGGCAGTGCCTGGTTAGTCGTGAAGCCCCAGGGGGAAGGGAAAATGCTTACTCATTTCCATAACCCCTTTGTCGCAGTGCCTGTAGTAGAAGTTCACTCAACAATGCTTCTGAACTGAATAGAATGGATGAAGATGGCCTTTTTCCTAGGTTAGCCCCAAGCACCAGGCTTTCAGCAGAAGACACTATAGGTTGGCATCTGAAAAAAACTTTGGTTCAGGGCTAGGTGTGGTGGCTCACACCTGTAATCCCAGCACTTTGGGAGGCTAAGGCAGGAAGATCACCTGAGGTCAGCAGTTTGAGAGCAGCCTGGCCAACATGGTGAAATCCCATCTCTGCTAAGGATACAAAAAAAAAAAAAAAAAGATCAGGCATGGTGGTGCGCACCTGTAATCCCAGATACTTGGGAGGCTGAGATGGGAGAATTGCTTGAACCCGGGAGGTGGAGGTTGCAGTGAGCCAAGATAGCACCACTGCACTCTAGCCTCCAGCTTGGGCAACAAGAGCAAAACTCCATGTCAAAAAAAAAAAAAAAAAAAAAAAAATCCAAAAAGCAAGAAGCAAAACAAAACAAAAAAAACAACAAAAAAAACTTTGGCTGGGAGTCAGGTGGCCCCATCTATTCCAAGATTAGTTTTATGTGTTGACCCAAGTTCCTTTACTTCATTGAGCTTCCATTTCCATTGTTAAAATAATACCTCTGTTTGCCTCAATGAGATAAGGGGTGTGAGAGCAGACATGTGACACTTCTGCCATTTATTACCAGCCTTATGAGTCCCAGAGTTGACCAGTGGATTCTCTGGTCTGGTCTTGAAGCTGCCAAAAAAGTTCTGGGGGAGGCAGGGTTATAAGGGTGGGGTGGGTGCCCATGTGGATGAGGACGGCCTACAACCTAAGGACCTGCCACATGCTCCCTCATGGAATTGGTGGGTGGCTGGGCACAGGGACCGTGGGACAGTGAGACCGTGGACATCCTTTCCCTCACCACTGAAGCCTATCTTATCATCGTGAATACATCCCAGATCAAAACAATTCCTGTAATGCTAAATAAAGGCATGCTCCTGGATGAGAGATCTGGAACTAATATTTAATCATTCTTTCTAGTCTCCTCCCTTGTTAATGTCTCTGTTTTGTTTCAGAGCTAGAGGCAAGCTTGTGAAGAGCTCAGACAGGACCTTCTTTGTCTCTCTACCCTTCAGTGTCTAGTAAGGGGTCCGATATGCAGTAGGTTGACTGTGATATTGGCAGTGCATGGTAAAGACGAGGTGCTCAGTTAATGCCTATTCCACTAGAATATGTGACATGGGGGAACCACTTTGAAATAGCCTTATCCCCAACTCTCAGACCAACTCTGCTAGAAAATCTGTAAGCACATTTTTATTCTGCTTAATATGCTCTTTGTGGAGTGCAAGTCATTTCTTGTTATCAGTGGAGTAGAAGTTTACTTACTTAGGCTGTTATCCACTCATTTATTCATTCAATAACATTTATTTATGCAGTACTTACTCTCTCAAGGCTGTGTGGGAGGCAATGGGAATGCAGCAGTAGTTGAGACAGACAATATCCCTTTGATTAAGGAGCAATGACCCATAGGGAGAGGCAGACTTCCACTAGAAACTTCACTTACCTAAACACTAAGACATGCTTGCTATAGCAGGTCAGGCTGTGTACCAGGCATTTTATAAATATTAGCACATTGAACTCTCACAATAATTCTATGAGGTAGGCACTATTTTAATCAACATTTTAGAGATGGGGACAGTGAGACAGCTCACAGAAAGGTGAAGCAACTCACTCAAGGTCACACAGGTAGTAAGTAAGCTCGCATTTCCACCCAAGCCTCCCAATTATAAGAGGAATAAGAATTATGGAAGTGCAAGTACGGTGGACCCTGGGGACTTAAAGTGGGAACACTTAACAGAAGAAAGCCTCCCTGACTATTAGTTGATTTGTCAGATGATAATGTTTTATGGTTAACAAGTGTTTGCCAGCATTTATTGTAAGCCAAGCCCCATGGCTGGCCCCTGTGAGGGATGCATGGATGTAGCAGGTATTGCTCAGAGAGCACTTGGGGTCCTGTAGATGCCAGTTTCCCCCAACCTAGTTCTCTTCCAGCCTTTGGAAAAAGTTACCAGGCACCTGCTCACAGCCCTACTGGTTCCCAGAGTGGGCAGTTATCATTTCCTAGCTCATCAGCAAGGATTGGCACTAGTCTCACAGCCCCAGGTCTGAGGGTAACACTCTGGGCCGAGGCCCATCCCTGGGGAAGTGTTTCCTATGGAGGCTAGATTGGCCTCTGGTTTCTTGCCAACTGCACTACCTTCCTCCCACAGGGTGCTGGTGCCTGGTGGGGTGCTCGTGCCCTGTGTCCCGGTTGGTTGATTGAGACCTGCTTCCTTTCTACCTTTCTGCTCACCCTATTTCCACCTTATTGCTGGTCACTTTTCTGGTCTGCAACCTGTTCTGCCATGCTCTGCTTCCACCTTGGACTTGGAGCTTGCATGCCAGGCTCCCCGAGGGCTAGAATTACTGGATTTTGGCAGCGTTGACATTCTTCTTTGGATGGGATCTCCTGTCAGCTGTGTAAGGGCTGTGAGGCATCCAGACATCAAGGTTATAAGCTCTATGAGAATGGATTTTTTAAAAAGGTTGTTTTTTAATTTTCAATGGACAAATTATAATTGTGTATTTTGATGGGGTACAATATAATGTTTTGATGTATGTATATGATGTGGAATGATTAAGTCAAGCTAATTAACATGTCTGTCACCACACATACAAGTGTCTGTGGTGAGAGTATTTGAAATTTACTCTCTTAACAATTTTGAAATATACAATGCTTTGTTAGTAATCGTAGTCACCATGCTTGGGAGTAGATCTCAAATAGTGAGATGATGTACATGTTTCAGTGCCTGGCTTATTTCACCTAACAGCATGTTTTCCAGGTTCATCCATGTTGTCATAAATGGCAGAATAGCTTTCTTTTTGTTTTGAGACAATGTCTTGCTCTGTCACCAAGGCTGGAGTGCAGAGACGCCATCTCAGCTCACTGCAACCTCTGCCTCCCAGCGTCAAGCGATTTATGTGCCTCAGCCTCCTGAGTAGCTGGGATTCCAGGTGTGCACCATCACGTCTGGCTAATTTTTGTACTTTTAGTGCAGACAGGGTTTCACCACGTTGCTCAGTCTGGTCTCAAACTCCTGACCTATAGTGATCTGCCCACATTGGCTGGAAGTGCTGAGATTATAGGCATAAGCCACTGTGCCTGCCAGAATTCTTTTCTTCTTAAAAGTCTGAATAGTAAGTATCCCACTGTGTATGTAAACCACATTTTCTTTATCTGATCATCTGTTGATGGCCACTTAGGTTGACTCCATATTTTGTCTATTGTGAATTCTGCATTGAACAACATAAACAGAGAACAGAGATCTCTTTGACATCCTGGTTTGAAATCGAGACTGAAGTTTTTGTGTTTTGGCCAATACTGATACAGCTCAAGCACCTAAAACAATGTCTGCTACATAACAGATTCTCAACAAATTGCCCCATCTGCTCTGTCCGCAGTCATTCTGAGCCTGGCAGCACCTTGGAGAGTGACTTCGGAATCCTCCTGAAGCCTGGTGATCCCACCCACACAGAGGGCACTAATACCATGGCTGGGGTGCCCCGTGAGGGTTCCAGCTGTGCTCTCTCTGTGTGGAGGATGAACCCAAAATACTTCAGGCAGCTTTGGCTTCGGGTGTACCAGTGAGGATGGGAGATGGGGTGAGAGTGTGGGTGGCAGCCTTGTGCAAGACACAGGCCTCATGGTTCTTTTTACCCTTGATCTCCCTCTGCAGGTGGCTCCATGCTCATCTCTGCAGTCTGCTGCTTATTTCTGTTTTTTTTTTTTTTTTGGCAACAGGCTGGCAGTGCCTGTGCTGTGGGACAAGCATTGCAGCCTGGAATGCTGTGGATGTGATCAAAGTAGAGCTGTATCCCACCAACCAGAGGTCTGTTCTTCCCCAGGCTTTCCTTAGGGGCTCATTTGGGCTAGGAGTCTACCTGCTCCGTAAATCCCATGCCTTGTGTGACCATCATGGTCTTTCTGATGTTCCTTGAACGAGACGTCTCTTATGTTGAGTTTCTCCTGCACAGGGGATGGCATGGACCTGGAAGTTGGCAGGCTAGGGCTTGATAGGGTGGGAAGGATGGCAAGAAGCAAAGGATGAAAACAAACTATGTCCAGGAGAAGGAAATAAGGGTGGAAAGTTGGCAACACCACGTGTCGTGTATCTACAAGAGAGAACAGACCTCCCAATGGAAGACAAAGTGAAAAGATGAAGAACTGGAATAGCACAGGGTGGGGGTAGAGAGAGAAATAAAGCTCAAGAGGCAGCATGAAGTCCGGGGAATCGGCAGAGAATGTGGCAGGGATGCCCAGGGGTTACAGTTAATTTGCACGGGTCACATATGGGAAGAGGCCCAGTTTAAAAGCATCGGGTCAAGGCAATTACCTAGTAATTGCTTATCTTCGTGGAGGGGGAATTGTGAATTTTAAGAAAAAAAGTTAAGAGGTCCCATGGTCAGAAAGGAATGTGAGGAGGTAAGGAATGTGGGTAAATGAAACTCTGCAAAAAAAAATCCCTGAATAATACTTCCACAATTGGCGGCAGAGGTATTGGGGTATAGATAACAAAAGAGGAGCACAACACATCATATTTGGAGCCAAAGAACCTCTCATCTGAATCAAAGAACTGCTAAGTTTTACACAAAATAACAGGAGGACAAATGAATATGATGTGATTTTACAAAAAAAGAATTAACTAATGGGACTACTAGACACAGACAATTTAGTCAAGTGGTCAGTAATAAAACTAAATTAGGTATAGGTTTTAAAATATATTTAAAAAGTTAAAGATGCTTTTGAAATCCATTTAATAACAGCAGGCATCATAAAATAATTAGGGATCCACTTGACAAGTGAAATACTCATATGAAGAAAACCACAAAGCTTTACTAAGAGATATGAAAGAAGACGTATAAGAGAAGATAAATTTATGCCAACTCAGTGATTTGGGAGGCCGAGGCAAAAGGATTGCTCGAAGCCAGGAGTTGAAGATCATTCTGGCCAATATAGTGAGACCCCATCTCTACAAAAAATATTAGAAAATTAGCCAGGCATGGTGGCATGTGCCTGTAGTCCTAGCTACTCAGGAGGCTGAGGCGGACAACTGCTAGAGCCCGGGTGGTTCAAGGTGACAGTGAAAGAGGATCACAGCACCACATACCAGCCTGGGTGACAGAGACACGCCCTGTCTCAGATAATGTATATATTTATAAATTATATATTTATATATAATTATAATATATAACATATAATTAGTATATATTATTTTATATGTATAAATAAATATGTATAAATATATGTATATATATCTTATATTTATATGTATAAATATGTTTATATATCTTATATATTTATACATATATAAGAGACAAGATATATCTAATTTTGGATAGGAAGATTCAATCTTACAAAAATGTCACATTTCATTTAGTTTTTTTTTTTTTAACATCAAAGAGCTGGTTCAAAATTCAACAAGGTTTTTTCCCTCCGGGAACTTAAAAAAGTTTATTTGAAAAAGTACACGTTAAAAGATCCAAGAAAATATGAAAACAAAAATGCCAAAACGAACAAAAGAACTGGGTTGTTGATTAGAAAGCTACTGTGCAGTACGGTTATAGCCAAAAATAAAAGAAGAGTTTTAAGTACAAAAATATACCCACATTCTTAATAAACTCGTGGTATGAGAAATACACATTTTATTTCAGTTGGGGAGAGGTAGTATTGGGAATATGTCCTCTGCATACAGATGGGGTCATGAGAGAATAAATGATTAGTAAGCACAGGCTCATTATGGTCCAAAATGAAACCATCCGTGTTCCATCACGAAGCAGGGTAGAAGGAAAAGAATGAAGGGGAATAGAGCACAAAGACCCATGCATGAAAAGTCTTAAGGAAGCTTCTTGGGACCGCTGTAACTTGTACTTACATCCCATTGGCCAAGACCAAGTCACATGGCCATGCTCACAGCAAAGGGGTCTGGGAAATGTAGTCCTACAATTGGAAGAATGGTACTGGGGCACCTGGCAGTCTCTGGTTCAGGAGTGTTGAGAGTGATATAGGGGGAACATTTACGCTTTCTGCTTTGCATACTTCAGCCTTTCACGATTTCCATAGTAACCATGTACTACTTGTAAAAAATTTTTAAATAGGCATCTTTGAAAAAAAAAAAAAAAAGGAAAACACTTGAAGAAAATACTTCAAAATGTTAACAGAGGTGAGTGTCTCTCAGTGAAGAGGTCACGTAACCATGCATCTTTATATTATTCTGTATTTACAAATTTAACTACAATGAGAATGTGTTATTTTTATATTTAGGGGGAAAAATCCCTTGCATCCCTCCTCCCCTTACAGTAAGGAAAAGAAAGGGTTCAGTCCTGTTCATCGAATGAGGTTCAGAATGGCAGAAGTATTTCCATTCCTCTTCTTTTACAGGGTAACAGCCTTTGGCATTCTCAATGGATTACGCAAATTTGGCACCGTCTTGGGAAACACCATCTTTGCTTCCTTTGTTGGGATAACTAAAGTGGTCCCCATCATTCTGGCTGATGCTTCTCTGGTTGGGGGTGGCCTGATTGCCCTTCGACTGCCAGACACTTGAGAACAGGTCCTGAGGTGAACAACCTATGGGAAAAGGAAAGGTGGAAAGAATCTGGTCCAGGACACTAAAATGCATCCACACCTCCTGCCTGTCACTGTCCAGAGGACACCTTGGATAGCACAGGAGAAGAAGTTGACTTTGTGACCCCTAGTTTAGGATACACTTCAGCTGTCAATTTGTTTGGAACTCAGGTGACTGATTTGGGGGATGCCCTGAGGCACCCTTAGAATCAAAGAGCTGCGTGTTTAACTTGAGGTCTTCCCAGACCAAGGCAGGGAGAGGATTCTCCAGTGAGTGCATGAGTGCACACACTGAGGAGCATCATTTCTCTACGTGAAGTGCAAGGACTTATTTGCATTACCAAAGGAATTAGAGGGTAAGAAACACCCAACCTCCTCCGTAAAGTTCCTTGGAGCCCAACAACTTAACCAATCAGCTTAGCTGAAAATTAGAGTCATTATATGAAGATTGGGCTTGAAGAATAGGATACACGTATTTTTTGCATTTAAAAGTATCACATATCATATTTTCAACTTGAAAGTGGGCACGATAGCATTGAAGATACTCTGATATAGACAGAGAAATATCTGAGCAACATCTATAGAGATCTACTTTTCCCCGAAGTGTCTTAGGCTTTCCTTGAGAATTAGCTGATACATTTAAGCAGGATATTTATTTCTGTTTTGCTCTATTCAAAGAAACTTAATGAGATAGATATTCCATAAACTAAGCTTGTATATAACTTTATTTGGGTTTAATTTCCACACTGGCATCTGCAAATACTGCCGGCATTTTAGCCATATTTTGGGAGAACTTGGTGTTGGAGGTCCCAGGAAATGAGGTCTGATCAAATGAAACGCAAGCACAATTTCTTACAGCCATTTAACTTTCTGTGGGGACGACACACATAACAAACTCATATTGTGCAGTCCACGTAGTCCAGGCACTTTTCTTTGTGCAGGTGGAGTGAGTAGTTACTTTTCACTCTTACACAGATGACTTGTGAAACTCAAGCTCTCCATCTTCCAAGCTGGCATTTGACTTCGGCAATCCCCCAAAAACAATGTGAGATGCGTTCAGTGCCCTCTTTGTAGGCAAGAATCGGACAACATGGGGACTGAGGGAAGGATGGGGAGGTGTAGCCACAGTTCTTCTAAGTGTAAATACCTTTTTTTTTGTTTTAGTGGTAAAATGCGATGTATATTTGTTAGGATGGTCAGGTCTCATGAGAAATCCCTGCTATGTTACCAGGGCCTTTGAAACAATCCATTGGAGTGGGAGTTAGGGGGTGTAGTGGATACCAAATATGTTTTTCTTCAGTGCATAAGATAATTCTTTCCTGAAATCCAATTTTGAACATAAACCGGGGGCAGGGGGTGGGGAGAAACTGAGGACAAGCCACTCCGATGAAGGTCAGCAATAGACTGTGTTGACTGCATGGAAGAGGAACAGCATCAGAACTTCTGACAATGGAGAGGAGAGTGGACTTGAGCCTGCCCTGGCTGGATGAAGATCAGCCTGCAGGAACTACATTGAGTTAATTCGCAATGCTCTCAACGGCTGCAAAGTGCCACTTTTTTCCTGTCAGAGATCTCCAAAAGTTTAAAACAGACTCATCATGGCTACCTCAAGTGTTTTCTCAGTTTTGGGGACATGCTTAGGTCCCATGACAGCTTCGGACATCTTTGTGTAATTTTCCTCCTGTAACAAGTTGGAAGAGGCAAATCTTAACAACACTTTACCACCCTTTATTTGAGATCGGTTTTAATGGTTCAAATGTTTACTCTCCTTCTGCCCACCCTCACCTTTTTTTTATTTTTTATTTATTTTTTATTTTTTACTGCATTTTAGGTTTGGTGGTACATGTGCAGAACATGCAAGACAGTTACATAGGTACACACATGGCAGTGTTTTGCTTCATTTCTCCCCTTGGGAAAACTGGCTAGCCATGTGCAGAAAGTGGAAACTGGACCCCTTCCTGACACCTTACACCAAGATTAACTCCAGATGGATTAAAGACTTAAACATAAGACCTGGCACGATAAAAACCCTAGAAGGAAATCTAGGCAAAACTATCCAGGACATAGGAGTAGGCAAGGACTTCATGAACAAAACACCAAAAGCATTGGCAACAAAAGCCAAAATAGACAAATGGGACCTAATCAAACTCCACAGCTTCTGCACGGCAAAAGAAACAGTCACTAGAGTAGATCGGCAACCAACAGAATGGGAAAAAAATTTTGCAGTTTACCCATCTGACAAAGGGCTGATATCCAGAATTTACAAAGAACTCAAACAGATATACAGAAAAAAAACAAGCCCATTCAAAAGTGGGCAAAGGATATGAACAGACACTTTACGAAAGAAGACATATATGACACCCTCACCTTTTTATTCACACCTTTCCCTTTGTTTTTTCTATACAGGGAGAGAAGATATATTCACTCTGACTTGACACCCTGATTCCTCCAAATATATATGCCACTGTGTATTAATATTTCTCTCAGTGTGTTATAGGAGTTACCTAACAATGCTGTGCCAAGAATGAAAAGCTGGATGTAATATAGCTGTAATTTACCTTCCATATGAATACAGTGGATAGGTTCCTAAAAGAGAATTGTGTGAATCTGGGATTGCCACATCTAAAACATTATTCTTTTATGGAATGATAACAATTCATGGACCAGCTACCGCTTAAGAAATTCACAGGACAGTTAGAGCCTGCATGTCTAGTTAAGATGGATTATATAAATTTAAAATTGGATTAACTTGCAATCCCAGTACTTTGGGAGGCTGAGGCGGGTGGATCACAAGGTCAAGAGATCGAGACCATCCTGGTCAACATGGTGAAACCCTGCCTCTACTAAAAAAATACAAAAAATTAGCTGGGCATGGTGGTGCGTGCCTGTAATCCCAGCTACTCAGGAGGCTGAGGCAGGAGAATTGCCTGAACCCAGGAGGCGGAGGTTGCGGTGAGACAAGATTGCGCCATTGCACTCCAGCCTGGGTGACAAGAGCGAAACTCTGTCTCAAAAAAAAAAAAAAAAAAAAAAACCGCTAAAATTGGATTAACTTTGGAGTGCTGGGGTGGCTGCAATAATTTGGGAGTTAACTCCATTTGTTCGCAGTTCATGAGGATGTATTTTATGATGCCCAGCTTGGAAGTAGTTGCTTCCCATAGTCTCAACTGTATCGTGTCATCTTCTGATGCGGATTTTTGATCTTTTGTTTTATTAAAAATAGTTAGTGAAAGAGGGGCGCGTGTCTGTGAAGTTTGTAGTACATTAGCCTGAGGTCATGTAACACATAACCCCCAAACCAGTGTTCTAGGCCACCTTGTGTTCATTAAGACTAAGTAATAAAAATAACGTAAGAAAACTTTAAGAACTCGTTCTTAGGTGAGACCCTCACCCCTTTAACCCTCCACAGCCAAGAACTGGGGTTAGAGATGATTCTCAGCACTAACGTCTCTTCTGTATTTCTAAATTGATTAAACCAGCTGGGAGAAACATCAAGAATCACTTTCTTCCACATTTTATTTGCAATATGGGGACCTCGAGAGGTTAAATGATGTGGCTCGGGTTACATGTAACACCAGAAGTGGGGGACGAGGCCTCAGGCAATGCTCTCATGACAATTCTGGGGATGCCTTCAGTCTGGGGAATGGGACAATGTGGCAAACACTCTATTCCCTGGGGCCATTGACTATTCCCATGGTGGCTTTACTAGAATGAATGGAAGGGTCAGTTTAAACATAAAAAGATTAATATTTAACCATCCATCCATTCATTCAGCAGATCTTTATTGAGCCCCGACCGTGGGCCAGTCCCTGTGCCAAGCCCTGGGGACACATGATAAAAAAACTGGTCACATTTTCTACCTCCCACCTCATTCCACTCACAGTGAGTCTGTGAGATGGACATAAAATTGGCCGTAATCACCGAGTATGATCACCTTACAACCTACAAAATGCACCTTTCATTTGTAGAAGGATTGTTACTAGTTTACTTGTCAGCTGTGGATGTCCAAATGTGGTTCCTGCCTCCTGTTTTTTTTTTTTCCTTCATTGAGGAGTGTACCAATTTTTTATTTTTATAAACCAGGTAAGGGAAATGAAACACTTGCCCATTTTCTACAGACCTGATCTGTTTTTACCTCATCAGTTTTACAGAAAATGTTATGTGGAAGAAGAGATGGGGTCAGAAATGCAAGAGGGACATTAGTTCGTGGGGTGAGAACCCCAGGATCCCCGGGAAAGGTGTTTCCACCTCCACATCTGGGTTTTCTAGGAAATGTCAGTGCTAACTGAGCTGGGATTGTGTTGGATGGCCACAGGTTGTGAGCCATGAAAAGGAGGCTGCAGGTGACAGGCAAAGGGACCCATTAGCCAGTTTACAATGACTCGGCAACTGACCGGATGGAGCTTGAACCGTATATCCATGTAGAGTGCTCATATGAGTCTGTGTTGGAAATAGATGTTGAAAATAGATGCTTGGTGCCGCGAAGAAAAATGAGCACTGAGACAGAGGATCTTTCAGCAATGCAATGAGTACCTTCTGGACTGCAGGAAGGGTACCCTTGCTAGCCATCATGCCATTAGTGTACAATGAACGATGGAAAACAAATCTGTCCCTTGTGCATTTGGGATCTTCCTTTTTGCTCTGTCTGATCTCCATTGGCTGGAGCCAGATCTCACAATCTAAACTAAAATTTTATTAGCTAACAACATAAAACTTTTCTAAACAGGTAAAAGCCATGGAGAGCTGGGACATGCCCGTGAGCACGTCCAGCACAGTTATGTTCTTGACTAAAGTACAAGGACATGGAATGTACTACGTGCGTGTAAGCACCGCATGCCTAACAGGTACATAGGATGGGGCTTAAGGAAGTTATGGGCATGGTTATTATTTAACAAGAAAAAAAACTTTGAAAAGGAACTCTTCTGCCTCCCGCAGTCTGTAAATAATTCCATGTGTAGTGAACGCAGCCACCAAATTAAACTCATACTGTAAGTGTGAAATGACAAAACCCACTTTTGTTCTCTCTTCATAGTTTTCATGCTCTCATTCCTGTCTCCCTTTAGTTGTTTTTCCATCTGACTATCACTGGATAGTGGAATTGCTCTGATTACTGATGCCTTTTTTGTTCTTAGGTATATTAAAATAGTAGCAACAGTCTGGGTGCGGTGGCTCATGCCTGCAATCCCAGCACTTTTGGAGGCCCAGGAGGGTGGATCACGAGGTCAGGAGATGGATACCATCCTGGCTAACATGGTGAAACCCCGTCTCTACTAAAAATATGAAAAATTACCCGGGCATGGTGGCGTACGCCTGTAGTCCCAGCTACTCTGGAGGCTGAGGCAGGAGAATGGCTTAAATCTGGGAGGCAGAGGTTGCAGTGAGCCAAGATGGCCCCACTGCACTCCAGCTTGGGTGACAAAGCTGGCCTCCATCTCAAAAAAGAAAACAAAGAAACAAATATAGTAGTAACAGTTGATCTGGTGATTGGTAAATACAGTTTAATCTTTAATACCTCGTGATCTAGATATTTAGCAAAGACACGTGACATTTACTCAATGGCAAGCACTGTGATGAAGACTTTTAAAGCCTATGTCCTTCAACTTTTATAATAACCTGATGAGTTAATGTCATTTTCTTCCTTTTAGAAATGGGGAAACTGGAACACAGGCAAAGGAACTTGCCAAAGGCCAAACAGCTACAGATTGAGTATTTCTCATCCCAAAGGCCTGCTACCAGAAGTGTTTTGGATTTCGGATTGTTAAAGGTTTTGGGATGTTGGCATCATACCTACCGGTTAAGCATCCTAAGTCTGAGCATTTGATATCTGAAATGCTCCAGTCAGCATTTCCTTGGAGTATTCTGTTGGTGCTCAAAAGGTTTTCAATTTGGGCGCATTTCGGATTTTCTGGATTTGGATTTGGATTTGGATTTGGAATGCTCAGTGTGTTTTCAGAGTTAGAGCCAAGGTCTGAACCGTCATGACCTGGCATAGAGTATGGTATACCTATGCCATACTCTTCCAAAAGCAGGCTCGGTCACCTGCTCCAGATTTTTCTGGGCCACTGGACCAAGTCATTGTAGATAACATCTTAACCATAGAGGTTCCCACGACATTGTGACCTAGGATGACCCTCGTTTCCCCATATGCATTGTGACTAACACAGTACTTGATACACAGTAGGTCTCCCTAGAGGATGAATGGACAGATGAATGACCACAAGAGGTAAATGCTGAGGAGCAAGGAAAGTGTCATATTTAAAAGAGTGAATTCCCAGATTGATTCAGACGCGATCTAACACTGCAGCTGTAGCTCTGGGTCTGGGTTTTGGTGGCTTCTGCCTTGCTGAGCTTTAAAACTTAAGTGGGTGATGGAGAGATCTGGGGGCTGATGCTTGAGGTCACGATGCTGAGGGTGGTGGCCTTTGCTAACTGGTGTGGAAGCATTTCACTACTTTAACAAGTGTGGAAGGAAGTACCAATGTGAGTTTGCTGAATACAAAGCTTGGGACCGGGCGCGGTGGCTCAGGCCTGTAATCCCAGCACTTTGGGAGGCCGAGGTGGGTGGATCACAAGGTCAAGAGATCGAGACCCTCCTGGTCAACATGGTGAAACCCCATCTCTACTAAAAATACAAAAAATTAGCTGGGCATGGTGGCGCGTGCCTGTGATCCCAGCTACTCGGGAGGCTGAGGCAGGAGAATTGCCTGAACCCAGGAGGCGGAGGTTGCGGTGAGCCGAGATCGCGCCATGGCACTCCAGCCTGGGTGACAAGAGCAAAATTCCTTCTCAAAACAAAAAAAAAAAAAAAAAAAGAGAAAGAAAAAGAAAGCTTGGATGCCTGGTGTGGTGACTTACACCGGTAATCCTAGCACTTTGTGAGGCCAAGCCAGGTAGATCACTCGAGGTCAGGGGTTTGAGACCAGTCTGACCAACATGGTGAAACCCCATCTCTTTTAAAAATACAAAAACAATGTGGGTGTGGTGGTGTGTGCCTGTGGTCCCAGCCACTTGGGAGGCTGAGGCAAGGGAATCCCCTGAACCTGGGAGGTGGAGGGTTGCAGTGAGCTCAGACGGTGTGTGAGCCTTGGTCGGACCCAAGAAAGAGAAAGCCTGGGTGACAGAGTGAGACTGTCTCAAAACAAAGAAACAAACAAACCAACGAAAACCTTGGGAGCCACAACAAGCCAGTCCCATTGCAGTATCCTCATCTGATGGTATTTTCCCAGCTCCTGCCCAGGCTGCTGAGACATGTCACTAATGGAAAACCATTGCAAGGTTTTTTTTTTTTTTTCATTTTTTATTGCATTTTAGGTTTTGGGGTACATGTGCAGAACATGCAAGAGAGTTGCATAGGTACACACATGGCAGTGTGATTTGCTTCCTTTCTCCCCTTCACCCACATTTGGCGTTTCTCCCCAGGCTATCCCTCCCTAGCCCCCCCCGCTTGCCCTCCCCTTTTTTCCCCAATAGACCCCAGTGTTTAGTACTCCCCTCCCTGTGTCCATGTGTTCTCATTTTTCATCACCCGCCTATGAGTGAGAATATGCGGTATTTCTTTTTTTTTAGGATTGCTTTTTTTTCTTTTCTTTTTTTTTTCTTATTTTTTTATTGCATTTTATGTTTTGGGGTACATGTGCAGAGCATGCAATACAGTTGCATAGGTACACAGATGGCAGTGTGTTTTGTTTGCTTTCATCCCTTCACCCACATTTGGCGTTTCTCCCCAGGCTATCCCTCCCCAGCTCCCCCTCCCACTAGCCCTCCCCTTTTCCCCCCAATAGACCCCAGTGTTTAGTACTCCCCTCCCTGTGTCCATGTGTTCTTATTTTTCATCACCCGCCTATGAGTGAGAATATGCGGTGTTTCATTTTCTGATCTTGTGTCAGTTTGCTGAGAATGATGTTCTCCAGATTCATCCATGTCCCTATGAACGACACAAACTCATCATTTCTGATTGCTGCATAATATTCCATGGTGTATATGTGCCACATTTTCCCAATCCAGTCTATCATCGATGGGCATTTGGGTTGATTCCAGGTGTTTG